ATGCAGGAGCTTGGATGCATCCTCAGACATAGTTTAGAGCAGACCATCAGGCGAGACAGAGTTAAACCATGTATATAAAATGACACACTCCTTTCATGTCCACAGAGGAAATGTCAAGAAAATAAAGACGAAGCAGCAATGACCCAGCCATTATGAAAGCAAGAAGGAGAGATTAAGGAAGCCGAGGATCTTTCAACTCTGTTCAAACAGGTCTACCACCACTTTCTCATTCATTTACCGCACATGGTTATTCTGGAAGTTAAAAACACAGAAAAAGCTTTCCAACTCAGTTTGTTGTCCTACACTATTCCATTATTTCAGTCAAAATATCACTCTTGCTCGGTAATTTATTCATATTCCCTTTGGAAGATCTTATAAACTAAAACACTATTCAGTTTTCTTGTCATTCATAAGGGTGTTAGGTGAGCACTCCATATTCGGGTAACCAAATCTCACTGAGTGTATTCCTCAAGGTTTGTTCATACAGTCACTGGCTGCATAACATCTACTGATATTCAATCATATAACATCTGGTCATACAATGTCCAATCACATGACATTTAGAGAGAACATTCAAATGTTGCTGCCTCTGCCTCCTAACTAATTTGTCCATCATTCAGTCTCTCCTGAGTTCCACAATAAAAATAGAAATTGCTAGAGAAACTCAGCAGGTCTGGCAGCACCTGTGGAGAGGTAAACAGAGCTAACGTTTTGAGTCCAGCATTTCCAAAGTCCGGTGTTCCAAAAAAGATAGTTAGTGCCAAGTTTCTTGAGTGTTGTTTTAGCTTCACTCACCCAGGCAGGGGAGATGTAGCCCATCACACTCCTGACTTGAGCCTTATCAATGATGGACAGGCTTTGGGAAGCCAAGGGAAGAACTAGTTACCGCAGAATTCCTAACCTCCAACCTCTAATTCCTAACCTCCCAATGACCCTTAGTCACCACACTTGAAACATTAACTCTTTTTTTTGTCTCCACATATGCTGCCAGACCTGCTGAGGCTCTCCAGCAATTTTTGTTCTTGTTTCAAATTTCCAGCATCCGCAGTTCTTTGTTTTATTTACACGGCTAGTTTAGTTCAGTTTCAGGTCTGTGGTAAAGTAGTGGGGAACTCAGCAATGATAATACCATTGAACCCCAGGCAGTGATGGTTAGAACCTCTCTAATTGAAGATGGTTATTGCCTGGCATTTGTGAGGCACAAATGTTACTTGCCGCTACTCAGTCCAACCTGGATGATGCCAAGACAGGCCTTGCTGCATATGGGCATGGATAGTTTCAGGATCTGAGGAGTGTTCATGTGGCTGATATGAGCTGAGCCCCAACATTTCCATAGTTGGCATTCTCTCACTGTCTCTCTCTCTCTCTCACACACACACACACACACACACACACACACACACACACACACACACACACACACACACACACACACACACACACACACACACA